GAATTGTCCCAAACTCATACAAAATTGTCTCCATCCCTTGTTCAACCACCCGAGTTGGAATTAAAGGTCTTACCTCAACACTTGAAGTATGCCTACTTGGGAAAGAATGAAACCCTTCCGGTTATCATCTCAACTCATTTAACCGAATTTGAAGAAGAGCAACTCCTCAAGGTGTTGAAGGAGCATAAAGAAGCTATGGGTTGGACGATTGCGGATATCAAGGGTTTGAGCCCCTCCACTTGTATGCACAAAATCTTAATGGAGGATGAATGCAAGCCAAGTAGAGACGCGCAAAGAAGGCTAAATCCACCAATGATGGAAGTCGTGAAGAAAGAGATATTAAAGCTTCTTGATGCGGGGATGATCTATCCAATCTCGGATAGCAAGTGGGTGAGTCCGGTGCAAGTCGTTCCAAAGAAGACGGGAATCACGGTGGTCGAGAACAACAAAGGTATGATGGTTCCCACCCGTGTGCAAAACGGGTGGAGAGTATGTATTGACTACCGCAAACTCAATGCGAGCACACGAAAAGATCATTTCCCATTGCCTTTCATTGATCAAATGTTAGAAAGGTTGGCCGGGAAATCCCATTATTGTTGTCTAGACGGGTACTCTGGTTTTCACCAAATCCCGGTGGCACCGGAGGACCAAGAAAAGACAACATTTACATGCCCATTTGGTACTTTTGCATACCGGAGAATGCCATTTGGATTGTGTAACGCCCCGGCCACTTTCCAACGTTGTATGGTTAGTATCTTTTCGGATTATGTTGAAAACATAATTGAGGTTTTTATGGATGATTTCACGGTACATGGCAACTCTTTTCAAGAATGTTTGACTAATCTCACAAAAATTTTAAAAAGATGCATTGAAACAAACTTGGTTTTGAATTTTGAGAAATGTCATTTCATGGTGAGTCAAGGTCTCATTTTGGGTCACATTGTGTCTAAAAAAGGAATTGAGGTAGATAAGGCAAAATTGATGTTATTCAAAGCTTACCTTACCCGACTTGTGTTCGGGAAGTTCGTTCTTTTCTGGGCCATGCAGGTTTCTACCGAAGATTCATCAAGGATTTTTCAAAGATAACAAGACCAATGTGCCAACTCTTGCAAAAGGAGGTCGATTTCGAGTTCAATGAGGCGTGCAAAGAAGCTTTTGACAAGCTCAAAGAGTTGCTTACATCCGCTCCCATCATGCAAGCACCAAATTGGGATCTCCCTTTTGAGATCATGTGTGATGCAAGCAACTATGCGATTGGCGCCGTTTTGGGTCAAAAGAATGGGAGGGCCTCCCATGTGATCTATTATGCATCAAGGACACTAGACAATGCCCAAAGCAACTACTCTACCACGGAGAAGGAGCTATTGGCCATAGTGTTCGCCTTGGAGAAATTTAGACAATACCTACTTGGTACCAAGGTCATAGTGTATTCGGATCACGCAGCTCTTAAGTACTTGATGACGAAGAAAGATGCAAAGCCGAGACTCATCCGGTGGATCCTACTGTTACAAGAATTTGACTTGGAAATCCGGGATAAGAGCGGATGCGAGAACCTCGTTGCCGATCATCTAAGTCGGATCACTTCAAATGAAACTCCTCTCCCATTGCGGGACGAGTTTCCGGATGAGCATCTCTTTTCCCTTACCCAATCTATTCCTTGGTATGCCGATATCGTTAACTTTTTGGTCACAAAAAGGTATCCCGACACATTCACGCGTTCTCAAAAAGACAAGTTGAAAAGTGATGCAAAATACTATGTGTGGGATGAACCTTATTTGTGGAAACATTGTCCCGATCAAATCATTAGGCGATGTGTGCCCCAACAAGAGCACCAATCCATTTTGCAATTTTGTCATGAATTTGCTTGTGGGGGACACTTCGGACCTAGCCGGACTTTGAGAAAAGTCCTTGAATGTGGATTATTTTGGCCAACCATGTCACGCGATTGTTATATGTTTTGCAAAAGTTGTGAGCGGTGCCAAAGACGGGAAACATTTCGCAAAAGAACCAAATGCCCCAAAATCCAATCCTTGTTTGTGAAATTTTTGACGTATGGGGGATTGATTTTATGGGCCCATTTCCCGTGTCATTTGGCAACGTTTATATTTTACTCGCGGTTGACTATGTTTCTAAATGGGTTGAAGCCAAAGCCACAAGATCGGACGATGCCAAAACGGTTATCGAGTTTTTAAAGTCTAATGTTTTTGCGAGATTTGGTGTGCCTAGGGCTTTGATTAGTGATAGAGGGACGCACTTTTGCAACAAAATGATGGAGGCTCTATTGAAGAAGTATCACGTGACTCATCGTGTCTCCACTGCCTATCACCCTCAAACGAATGGTCAAGCGGAGGTGTCGAATCGTGAAGTGAAGTCTATTCTAGAGAAAACGGTGAATCCGACAAAGAAGGATTGGAGTTTGAGACTTGACGATGCCTTATGGGCATATCGGACCGCTTATAAGACCCCGATTGGAATGTCGCCCTTCAGATTAGTTTTCGGAAAACCTTGTCATCTTCCCGTCGAGTTAGAGCACCGAGCATTTTGGGCGGTCAAGAAATGCAACTTCGACATTGACGAGGCTGGAAGGCATAGGAAACTTCAACTCCAAGAGCTAGAAGAATTGAGAAACGAATCCTATGAAAACGCAAGGATTTATAAGGAGAAAACGAAGCTCTTCCACGACAAGTCCATCACCCGGAAGAATTTTGAACCGGGACATAGGGTCTTACTTTACCATTCACGGTTGAAGTTATTCCCGGGCAAATTAAGATCAAGGTGGATTGGCCCATTTGTTGTAATAAAGACTTTTGATCATGGAGCGGTGGAAATCCAAAGTGAAGAAACGGGACATATTTTCAAAGTTAACGGGCACCGATTAAAGCCATTCTATGAAAGTTTTAATGCAAGTGTTATTGAAGTCATCCACTTGGATGTCCCGGAGTGTTGAACCAAGCTAGAAGGACGTCTCGCCTAAGACGTTAAAGAGAGGCATTTTTGGAAAAGCTTTATGCTTTCGTGTTTCTACGTTCGAATAAAGGTTTTGAAAATGTTTTGATACGTCTTTTGAAGTCATTTTTGAAGAAATCAAGAGTTTCTAGGTGTTTGGGGCATTTGGGATCAAGAACTAGTGAAGAAACGGAAGAAAACAGAGAAAAATCGAATTTCGGGAGCAGGAGCCTGCGCGACCCGCGCAGTGGTGCGCGGCTGGTGTGCGCGGCCGGTCTTCAGCATGCAACAAATAACAAATCCAAACTGCAACATGTGCGCGACCCGCGTGCTGATCTGACGGCTATCCCTTATTTTGTTGACCAGCTTTGACTTTCGTTGACCAGGTGGTTTAATGAGTTGACTAACATTGACCGGGTGTTGACCACACTTGTATATGGATTAAAAACCTCCAGCAACTCTTCTTCTTCATTTCATTCTCTCAAAACCCTCTCATTCTCTCTCAAACTCTCAAGAACACATACACCCACTTTTCACAAAAATTTGATTTCCCGGAGTTCCACCGGTCGGAATACGACGAGACCACCACCATTCTTCACCATTTTCCGTGCTCTACAAACCCCACCTAAAGTTTACCACGAGCCATCGCCGGATCTAGGGGCGCCACCACCACCCATCTCGCGACTTTCCGGCCATTTTCCGGCCAACTCCCACCACCTCTCGCAATTCCGACACCACCAAAGTGTTTCTTTTTCGGAGATCTTTACATCTAACCAAACAAAACCTCAAAATCTCACAAAAAAATTTTCCCATAATTTTTGAGCCACCACGAGCCGCCGCCGGATTTTTCACAAAAACCAAGTTGAAAATATCCCTTCAATGAGCAAGTCTTGCATTTAGGCACCCACGAATAACCAAAGCTTGGGGTGCACGGTAGCGGATTCCGGGTTCAAGTTCAATTTTGGGATAAAACGGGTATTCTCTTTCCTTGGTTTTTATTACATTGCATTGTTTCAATTCAGTAATTGCATTCAATTATGCTTTGGAAATTGCCTAAGATCGTTAGTTGTTGCCCGGTTTATTTGGAAACATTGATTTGAGAAAGGTTGAGATTGGTTAATTTGTTTGGAAATTTGTTCAAAAATTGTTTAAACTTTGGTTGGGATTTTCTCATTTTGTCTCGTATTGCTGCCGAATTTTTGTTGGGACTACCAAATTAACCGAGTGTTGTTGTTGAAACCATTTTACATTGTCAAAAGTTGGGTGTCATTATTTCTTGGATTTTTTTTTCGTGTTCGGTCTAAAGATAGTTGCATTGATTTGAGAGTGGTGAGGTGAGGGATTACGTTGGTGAAGTTGTTTTTGATATTGTAGGTTTCGAAAATGGGCAAAACCACGGCTCGGACACGCACCCATGGATCATCGATCGATCCTAACCCTCAAAAAGATACCGCCGGTCCATCACGCCAAGCAGCCGGTAAACGAAAAAAAAGAGGAGAAGAGGGAAGCGATCCTTCCCTTACAAATGCTGAGATCAAAACCTATCGCTCCAATCTTCGGGGTCGCGCAATCCGGCCGACAAAATTCTACCACAAAAAGTCCATGAAAAAGCTTGGGGTGCATGATGGTGTATACCATTTGTTCATAAAACTCGGTTGGCGTGGTTTTCTTCGACTTTGTGACAGAACTTACGAGGAACCCACAATGGAATTTCTTAGCACCTATGCACGAGATGATGAACACAGAAGTCCTCACATTCCAGTTGAAAGGGGAACATCATAGACTCACATACGCAGAGCTTGATTCTATCATGGGTATAGACGATCCGTTCCGCATCAGCCCCAAAGTCAAGAGTACCAAGATTTTCTGCGTTGCCCTGATGCAAACTTCTGGATGCAAATTTCCGGTCTCCCAACCTTCAACCCAAGCCGACAGCGAGCCAAGCACATCGTTCACCCTGTTGGCGAATTGCTCACCGAGTCCTTACGACGAGTATCTTCGGGCGTCTCGAGCCCGGTCAAATCAACAGATGTGAGCTATTTTTCCTCCGAAGCATGAGGCATGCACTCTCCCTCAGTTTTTCAGGCTTCTTTTTAGACAAATGTGACTCCATACGCCAACGTTCCTCAGGGGAAATTTTCATCGGGGGACTTATCACGATCATAGGTCGAGCCGTCGGCCTAGACTTTCCGGATCCCGAGTACATACCTGTCGACACCCCACCGAACTTCCTGCTAGATTGTGACACTCTCATCCGGATGGAGATGTTGCTCGATCGGGGAACCCGCACGTACAGTTGGTTAGACGCTGACAAAGCCCCGGTTTACATCCTGCCAAGTTGGATCGGTTCTCATTCGATGCAGGCGACCCCGACACTTGGCTCCTCCAGATCAATTGACCCAAGCAGGTGTATTCCCAGAATTCGGTGATGATGAGGGTGACGACGCAGAGGAACAAGAGGAAGAAGATGACGAAGAGGACGACGAGATGC